AGTAGAAAAAATATCTCTGCTCTTCTCTCCGAGGGGATTTTTATATTCCTTCTCCACATTGATTCGCACTGTCCTCTAGTGGATATTTTAAGCAATTGGTTTTGTGTTTGTAATTTTTTCATACTGTTCCGACACAGTAGGTTTAATCTTTACTTTAAAATTAGCAATTAATGTTGTCTAATATAAAAATCTAGAGGAGTAGAATAATATTTCAAAAATGGAAAAAAAATTTACATTTGACCTGAGGTCTGAGTTATAATAACATAGAGACATTTAAGAATGTTTGTATCTTACTTACCAGTTGGAGCAGAAAGATACAGAGTGAAGGTGCAAGTGTATGGCGTCTGTGTTTTATTACATTTTTATTACATTGTTTTGAGAGTTGGAGATAATCTGCATCTTTCACATTGAAAAAAAAATTGTAAACTGTGGATGAATGAGTAATAAAGACCAACAGAATAATAGAAAGGATTAAATGCACCTTATTAGACTCCTAGTGAAAACCTACACATCCCATTTCACCCAATGGTTTGGGGTTTTTGTTAGTATTGCTACCTACCTCTTGAAAGGCACAGGGAATAGATCTTTGCCTGGGACACAAGAACATTTGACTTGTAATCCAGCTGAACTCAGCCATCTCCAGAGGGAAGGCAAGGCAGCTTCTTTGGTGGCTGCCCATACGTAGATCATCTTCAAATGAATATGAAACCTCAGCCTAAGTTAATTTGCGTTCATGTTTATGTGAGATTCAGAGCTTTACCTGTATGAGGTATCTGCCGTTGTTCAGTGCTGCAGTGCATCGTTATCCTGAGCCTGCTGTAGTTGTTCTGTGTTAATAACAAAGGTGGGTAACGAAAGAGAAATAGCAACCTGCAAGCGTCAAGTGTTTGTCCCCTCTGGTTTGTGTACAGAATTGGTGGTGTTAGCATGGACTCTGAAGGATATTCAGCAGCCTGGAATGCAGCAGCTGTAGACAGCGAGACGTCCTGTGTATGGATTTATAAATGGGCTGTAGGCAAGGTGGAATGCTTTATAGGGGCTGCCCGTAGTAATCCTTAAGTGTATGATGATCAGATGCCAGTGTGCATTTTGTTGAGGCCAAGAACATTTTAGAGAGAAAAAAAAAATAAGAAGAGATATTAAATGCACCCACACTATATCTATTTTTCAGATTGCAGGCAGGTATGCTGAAGCTGCTTCTGCTGTACAGAAAGTGCCCTTAGTTGTGCAGAACCTGGCAGCCTTGGGGGTTATGTTGGTGATGCAATACCATCCTAACAGGAGTCTCCTAGCACCATTGCTTCAGTTACTATACAGTTACACTTATTTGGAGTGGGTTGTTTTTTGGTTTTTTTTTGGTGTCAGACATTTAAGGCAGATTTGTAGGCTTTGTCAAGGCTCACTTGAACAAAAGGTCACTGTAGATTAAAACTGGTATTTTTGTTAATAAAGCAACATAGATTTCATATAGATATAGCTCTACATAAATACATCTGATTTCTTATATAAAGAGAGAAGACGCTCTCTGCATGTCTGCATATATGTTTGTGTAGTATTTAGGAGCTGTGGGATTAATGGATATTCCGGTATTTGCAAAGATTCAATACCATATCTAGCATTAAGGTCAGTGATAATGCAGCACTTGGTTAGTTTTTATCACTTCTGCTTCCCGGCATTGGTGCTTAGACCTGACAGACTGCGGGTTGTTACCAGCATTGATGGTGATGTCTTCATGCTATTGCGAGTTCCCTTATGTCTCCAGAGGAGTCCATAATCATCTGCAAGTACATTTGATGGTGATTTCACATCTATCAGTTGTTTTGGTGGGTGGAAAGAACCTAACCTGTGGATATACTGCTATCTTTAGTTTCCTTAATAAAGGTGCTGAAATATAAAATAATTTTATAAGGCATGGTGTTAGGTAAAAATGGTTATTACAATAATAATGCTATCAGCTAACCTGTCTTGTATATAGACAGTTTGCCCTCTCCTTAATATGTCTCATGGTCCATATGCGTTAGATACTGAGCCTGTTGATATGTAGTGGTTCCAGTATGCAATGGGAGGTTTATTTTTCTTATAGACTTAAATAATACAGAGATTGTGCATTCCCTGTGCACATGAAATACTGAAAACCTTTACATCCGTCTACTGGGTCTGAATGTTAAAGTTCTTTCGACTGGAAATGCAAGATCTAGTCAGGCTACAGAAGCGTTTATAAACAATGTTCAGAAATTCAGCAGAATTAAAGTGAATCTCAGCATCATTTGGACTGATCTTTTGGCTTATTTGGAAGATTACAATAAAACCCAAGATTGAATTCTCTACCTGATTCAGTCTCTTATTGATTGAATACTTTTAGACTCCTCTCTAATTTAACAGTGTATTTTTATTAAAGCCGAGCACACAAACATCAATTATCCAAGCTGCATCTAATTTCCTTCAACATTTTTTTTTTCCTTTTGCTGCCAATGGATTAGAAGACCTGATTAGAATTCAGCTTGAAAGCTGAAAAGCAGATCCTTAAATGAGAATGTCTGCATTAGGAATTAAAATATCTGTACTGGGCATAAAATCCTCCTCCTTATCGCTAATAATGTAAACACACTTGGTTAAGTTGATCTGTCACATGCCTGGTGCAATGTTCCTGAATTAGGAATATATATTAGAAGGGGCAGAACAGTGTCTGTGGCTTGTCCTGCTGATAGAATACATCACTAGTATATTTTAACATCAAAGTGCTTTGCATAGATATCTCCTTACCATAAGGGTTAATGTGATGAAAGTTTGAAGGGCTCTATTTTTAATTTGTGTGTTTTTGTCTCTGACACCAAGAATGTTGGCACATGCACAAGCAGTAGGAGCAAGGCAGAAAAGGGGCCTTTTAAGGTTTCACTGTCGGTAGCTTCTACAGAGTTAAGGATTTTGTAACAACGCGAAGGTGAAATAAATAATTGCAATGGCATTACCGATTTAATATCCAGAAAAATCTAAACTGGTAAATCCATCCATTTGACATGACATTAAACTGTTGGCCCACGTTTAAACTATAAGAAGGAGTTAGAAAATCAGTTAAATTGTATGTTCTTATTTGACTGGATTATTAATTTCTTTCTGATACCTGGTGTTGCTCTGCCTGTGATGAAGAAGCCATGTCATGACCCACAGGCAGGCACAGGCTGTATGAACTGAGGCAGCTGGTGTCATGGGTCGTCATCATACCCAACTGCAGAGAAAGAAATTCAGATATCAGGATTTTTAAGGGACTTCAATTATTGCTGTATTTATATAGCATTAGAGATGTTTTGTGCTTTGAGAAGGCACACGAGAATTCTGTTTATAGTATCAGGATGTCCAGAAGAGTGAGCAAATCTTAATTGGATTACTCCACTACAACTAATAAGAGGAGAAAGGTAGCAGGGACAGGCAGTGTTCTAGCACTTCAGCACTGGAAAACTAGAGTGGTGTCAAATAAGCTTGAGAGGAGAAAATGGCACTGTGTCCATTATGGTCAGATGGGAACTGTTCTGGCTGCTTTTTGGGTGGCATTGTGAGAAGTCTTGGAGCTGGGAGCAGCAGCAGGTGATGAGAGAGATGTCAACAAGGTATTCCCATTGCCATCTTCATTATATGACGGTTTTGCTACCATTGGAGTTCTACAGTTCAGTGTAAACATGGCTTATGTTTACAGTAAGGGATACTTTTGCAGTCTGTGGCACTGCTGAAGGATATTGGTGAGCTGATTTCATGTGGGAAGCGAAGTATTTGTTGAGATTTTTTTTCTTTTTATTGATGCATTGTGGATGGCAGTATTACTAACAGTGGTGAGCTTTCAGTCTGTGCGACTGCACATCACAGGAGTTAATTGTCACGTTTTGTCTGCAGAGAAATACTAAACCTGCTTGCGCAGAGCTATAAATGTGTGTGACTGCAGGGAATTATCTTGGTGCTGGTATGAGTCTGGCTACCTGGAGGTGGGCAATGTGAATCTGTTCATCTTGTGCGATGAGTTAAGCATAATTGCGGTTGACATCATGCACAAGTGAAATCCAGTGATATTTCGTTCCTTCAAACCTAATCCCCTCTTTATCTTGTCTTCTTTTGAGTCAACACAATTCTGACAAAGCTTGTTTGTGACACCCAGTGAAGTTTCTTGTAGAGTACCTCAAATGTTGTGGATTAGTCCCACTATGGAATGAGACACAGCATAGCTGCAGCTGTACCATGTCCCCCTTCACTTAGTAAGCCGTGGTGGGAAGCCTGGTATGTGAACTTGGGTTCAATATTGTACTGCCTTACCAAGTGGAAAGAATCCACATTAATATCGTGTATGTGTTAACGTCTTTATGTTGTGAAAGGTCATTTAATTGTGAATTGGGTGTAGGATTTTCAGTTTCCAGAAACTGATGATTAGCAGTTTTTTTGGGTTATCAATTAATCTGTTGTAATGGATGTTCTTCATTACATGCCCCTCCTTGTTAATTAGAAGGGATTTTTACTCCTCTGTATTAAGTCAGGGCAGGTATATTACCTTTTCCTCTGTATGCTAAAGTGTGTGTCCAGATTGTTCTGTGAAGTGTCCACATGAATATTTCACTGCATCTCCATCCACACATTCATACACTGTGTTTTCTGAGCTCCAACCCCTGACAATTATTCAATACATTAAAAAATCCAAAATATAGATTCTTTAATCTCTTTTAATTTATGCTTTTCAGTAGTAATTCCCCTTTTCTGTGTCATAATGTGTTTATGACATTAATTACCATGCCAGTTATAGACCAAGGTAATTAATCAATGCTACACGCTACAGAAACAGTAGACTCAGAATCAAGTTCTTAGAGTACGGAGGTGAAGCTTGTACCTTCCATAAATGAGAACCTGCCTGACAGAGGGGAATTTGTACCTGGTTTGGATCTTGTGTTTTTTTAAAAAACAAAGCCAAAACAAAACACAAACAAAAAACTCCACCTGATTCCTGTTCTGTTTCTTTCCTACAGGTTGAAGCAATACTTGTAAACATTTTTGGTGGGATTGTGAACTGTGCCATTATAGCCAATGGTATCACCAAAGCCTGCCGAGAACTTGAGCTGAAAGTTCCGCTGGTGGTCAGACTGGAAGGTGAGTGCTAATAGTTTCAAACAAAAATCGTCCCTCAAGTGTCCAGTAATCCACTTTGGCTTTCTTCGATCTCTGAGCTCTAAACAGATTAGTCCCACACAATAACACGTCCAGTTCGTCATCCATAGCATGACCTGAAGTCAATAAACTCTTTCCGTACATATTTCTGTATCCCTGGTCCCTGGTGGTACTTGAAACAATGAAATTTTGCAATTAAAGCATTATGGGTTTGCTTGTAAGATTTGCAATGCAAATAGAAATTATTTTGATACAAGTTTCTATTTACTGGAAGGTATTTCTTTTTCAAACGATTTTTTACTGAATGCAATTCCATTATTGCTAAACCTGCAGCAGGATACAGTTTTATTAAGTTTACTCCGATTTCATAATTAAAAAAAAGATGTTAGAAACAGTGTTTGTGAGAGAGAGATTACTGTAACATGTTCTTCTGCCCAAATATCCAATCCAGCCAAAATCCATTAAAAACTAGAAGATTTGGTAATGGTAAGGAATATTTTTTTCCTAGTATGTCCAGCATTGTTAAATTGGAAACAAAAAAGTAATAGAGAGGTGAGGAGGAGCAATCTTTGGCGGTTATTGGCTTTGATATAATGGCAGTACCCTGAAAGAGGAGGGAGATTTTCTTCTGCCATTGAATGAAATTGTGCTTTGGTTGAAATCAGCACAAGTCTGGTTACCTTAAAACATTTCTTTTTTTGTTAAGTAGGTTTGGAAAATAGAGGGTTTCTGTTTGGGTTTTTTTTAAAGCGTGTTCCTCAAAAACATGAATATTAATGTTAGGGTGTGTGTAAAGGGGGTACAGTGTCCTATCAGTCAGCATTGGTGGTGCAGGGAGGGAACACATCCTTTCATGTACCTGAGGTACAAACCAACAAAGTGGTTTTTTAACAATGCAGTAGAGGGGGGGAGGAAAAAGTGGATCTGACTATGCCAGACTTTTTCCTTTTAAAAAAATAACTTTTAAAAAAATGGGACTCATGAAGATGCAGGTTACCCGTGAAGCCCTTTGGTTAGGTGGGTACTTTTTTTGCCTTTCACAAGAAAGCAGGGTTTTCCCATCCCTTGTTCTCATGGCACATTACACATGATATGTAGTTCACGTCAGGGGAGACCACTGCCTGTGACGTGCAATTTTGTCCTGTAAAAGTTCTGTGTATTTCACTGCAGGGTTCGAATCCTTTCCAGATTGCATTCTTGGTTTATCATGGGTAGCCTTCTGCTGTAGTAAGTGCAGGAAAATTTAAATACTCTAAAATGGATTTTAGAAACAAATCGTGAAAATTTTCTTTGGATGATCCAGCACCACTAAACACCTTAAGAGAGTAAGTAGTTTAATATGGATGAAGGAGAGACTGACAGATGTTGGTTAGAAGCAGGATAGTTTCATAATATAAAATCTCATTGTTTATCAGCTCTAGGCAATGTTGGTTTAGCTTTTTGTCATAGCAAGAAGCTTTTCCTGTCTGTCATAGCTGGCAAAAAGTTTATCGGAACTGAAAGACTTTCTCATCTGTTGTAGCTGTTATTTTTAAAGCAAAGATATTGGAAAGGCTTCGAGCAAGAAGATAGTTGCAAGTTGTTTCGTATGTAGTCTTTGAGACCAGTATAAGAAAAACAAGAAAATCAGCTTGCTCATTTTAAACTGCAGCCTGCTAGGTCTGCTTGACCTTTCTCCAGTACTTTTGATACCTCCATGATTGTACACAAGTAAGGGTGAATTCTTTTTTTAGTGTGACTTCTGGGAGGTTGCAAGAGGCAAAGCAGTCCCTGGGCTGAATAAGGAGAGTCTCGGTGCTGCTGCACTGTGGGGTTTGTCTGGAAGAGAAGGTGTGGAGCAGGAGAGCTGCTGTCTGGGGGTTGCACAGAGCCTGCAGAAGCGGCTGCATGGTGCCTGTTCCTCTTGTGCCTGTGACCTTTATGAGTCGCGTGTGCTGTGTCATCTACAGAGGCCAAAGCTGAATCTTCAGAACGTCTAACACAGAATTTAATGCAAACACATTTTCTTGGTCATCTTCCCATGATTGCTTACCCTTTACTAGGTTTGTATCAATGCTTCTCCTAGACTAGTTGCTGACTCCATGTTTTCCTTAGGAAACTCTGTCCCAGTTCAATACAGCGAACTCTCCCATTTGCATTATATTTATCTCAAAAGGTTTTTAATTCCTTCTCCTATTCCTAGTGTTACCCATCAATTCAGCCTAAACGAAGAGCTATGTTGTTTACAGCCTTCAGATGTTGTACTTCAAAACTGTTAGCTTGTAACTCCTACTTTCTCTGCCTCCTTAATGACCCAGCCAAGCAATATATACGTATATATTTCATTCTTTTAATCTTTGCTCAGAAATCAGTCTCTCTGGATCCTTAATCATCTTCGTTGTTCTTCTTTGAACTCACACCAGGTTATCCAAACATATAAGGATTTTGAATTAATAATGAGTACTGTGGAAGTAATAAAGCTACCCAAGACCTTTTAAAACATCACCCATAAATTTTACATTTCAAAAGGAGAAAAAGGGACAAGAACTTTTTTGGATTTCCATTTTGAACATTTTTCCAACATAAGGTTCATGATTTATTCCCATAAATCTAACGGATTTGTGACCTGCACTTTAAAGACTCTTTGCCCGCATGCACTGTACTAGAAATGTCTTGATGACTGGAGTTTTAATCAGTCAAATCTGTCTTGATTTAGCAGGATTCTGTGGACAAATCTTTGTTCTCAGTTGTATAATAATTACAAGCTGTTTTACCAGTGGATAAAGAAAGGATTACTCTCCTCTTTGATAATGGTAACTTTATAATTACATGTATTTACTTGCCTTATCAGTAAAGAACTCACCAGCTGAGACGCAGGATTATTGTTGTTTAAAAAGCTCATAGACAAATGGAGAAACCACATATTCCAAATTTTATCTCTTACAGATGTAGAAAACTAACTTCTGCTAGTTTTGTGCAGCATTTTTTGCTCTTTAAAGTGTCATGTACTTCAATTAAGTTTTGTGAAAACTAACTAGGAGCTCTGAATGGAAGCCAAACCTTGTTTCTCACTTAGGTAGCTCAGAGTTAGATGAAAAGAGGAAAGAAAAAAAAGAACTGTGAATTAGATGTCCTTTTCCTATGCTAGAAATTTTACATTGTTTCTCTTTCAACAAATGAATTTTCTGCCTCTCTTGTCATTTGGGAGTTGGGAGGAGTTAGAACTACTTAGTGTGTTGAAATGCAGCTAGAAGCAAGTCGGCTTTTATTGAAATGTCTGAATCCAAGATTTCCTGTTATATTTTCAACCATATGATTCATGACCTTCTGTATTCTTCAGAATCTAATTATATTTTTTCATATATTCAGAAATCTTTCCAGTTTGTATATCTTGATCACAGATATGGTTTAGTATGTATGCCTGTGATTTTTAGTATCCCAAATTGCCTGTCAAGAGAGAAGAAATGGGTATTGCAAAGTTGCATTTAAAACTTTATTCATATCAACCTCTTCAAACATCTTGGGTTTAAACATTCAGCACAAATTTAAATGTGCTTGAGTCTTTCCCAGTTTGGATGTAAACATGGGGCAGAGGGAAAGACTAAAGTACTCTCTAGGAAAAGTATAAGATAGAAAAGGGCAAATGATGTGGACTGAATAGAAAGGGTTTAATTGTCTCTTATAGGTAGGCAGTGAAAGCTGATTTATTCTTGACTGCAGGGCCAACACTGACAAGACGTGTGTGAGCCACCAAAACTTCATAGGTTCCCTTGCTAAAGATCATTACTTACAGCTTCTCACTAACCAAACCTCAAATCAAATGTTGACTGAAGTTTAGCTAGTGATGAGCTTCCAACCTTGTCCCTTACTCTCCAGTACATCTGTCTTTGAGACCTGAGAGGTTATGAGTTTCCAGCTTGTGGGTTAGCACAAATGACGGGACCTGGATCCATGCTGGGGCAGGGTGGAATCTGGCTCTTAATACGCTCATCAATGTAGCATGTCGAAGCTGAACCATTGCTATTGATAACGTAATGTGGTCACAACGTGTTCACATGAATAATATTGTCAGACAGACTGCATATTATGAAGTATTTTGACATAGCAGAATGTTTTGGGTAGATCAGATATTTTTTACGTTAGTCTTCTTTTTCTTAGGATGTACCAAATGTATATAATTGCGTCTTCTCCCCTTATATCTTATTTACCTGAAAAACTAGAAATGACATTGCAGAGTCTTCCGTCCTCTGCAGCCATCAGCATTAAGTAGTGGTAATTTAGTCTGTTCCTAATGGTTTTATGACAGTGCAAGTGAATAAATGAACATTATCAAAATCCTGTTGGAGTACGGTTGGGGATGTTTTATTTGTTTTCGTTCAGCCTATGCAGTCCTCTTGATTCATTTGTAACAATGTCTGCTGGTATAATCTTACAATTTGTAGAAGCGTCCTTAGGTAGAATATTTATTACTTGAATTTTTAGGTAATGAGTTGAATAGATTCGTTTTGCTAGTGAAAACAGAGATTTCAAGGCAATAAAGAGTAAATGTGAACATTGCATGTACACAGAGAGGTTGTTTCAGGACCCAGGTTTCAGAAGGAGAATATTTAGATTTAAAAGCCTGAAAGTATCTGCTGATTAAATTGTATCTTTCCTGTTTTTCCACTAACATGTGTCAGAAGGAAGAATCTTCTTTTTCTTATCAGAAGGCTATTCCCTTAATAGGAGTCAAGTTAAAAAACCCCAATCAAGCAAAATTAAAACAACAACAACAAAAAACTAGCAACAGCAAGAAAAACCCTCTAGCTTTCAGTCCTGTGAATTTTCACCATTTCTCAGTTAGCTACAGCGTAGGTGAAGGGCAGGTGATTTTCATAGCCTGTGTATGGGATTCTGTTTACAGTTCTCTGACACCATCCAGTGGCAGGAGGTTAATGTTAGAATAGTGGGATTATTTATTTGTTTCTTTTAACGTCTGCTGCAAAAAGATGATACCCATTGTAGATATTTAAATGTTTCTGGTGTTTTCCCAACGTTTAATTTTAAACTCTTACCCCTGCTTTCAGCAGGATCTCATTATAATTTCTGTTTTCTCCATATATCTAAAATACTTATCACAGAGGGATAAAAAGCTGTATCATTAAAAAAAGAAGATTACAGCAAGGGAAATGCTTGCTGAAAAATATGTTCAGTTTTATGGGCTGCCTATAAAACAGTATTTAATAAATACAAAGTGTACTCTTTTGACTGCAGTGAGATTTTTTTTTCAGCTTTCATATTTTCATTTGTCTGCATAACCTGCCCCCTCCCTTCCTAGTGGACTGTGTTTTGTATTGATTTGGTAATGCACGTTAGACAAGTGGTGTGTAGAGCAATCAGTGCAGCGCAGAACAGATCCAATGTATTGTTCCCACTCTGACCTGTTAGTAAATTCGTATTGGCCACTTAGTGAAGAGCAAAAGTTAGTTTTAAATACATGGCTATCACAAGCAACATCGTATTTTTTCTCTGTGGGGAAATTTCCAGGAAAATTTTACCCTCTTTACATTTTTTGCTCTTTACAACACTTTGTCTTGTAGAATCCTGTTTGAGAGATTAGTGCAATCTTGACTGTTTTAAATGTTTATCACCCTTGTATCTAAATAATAGGTACAACCTTCAAGACTTGATGGGAATCTCTGTATAAATGTGAGGAACTTAAACGGAGAAGAGAGCCTTTGTAATGCCTTCTGCCTTCCCTGTACAGTTCTGTAGTGGCAATTAACGGCTTTCACATTATGGATGGTTGAAAAAAAATTGTTCTTTTTTGCCCATAATATTATTTTTTCTGTAGGAAAAGTCCTGTACAGTCTGGATGTTACTATGCTACCAAATCCCCCTTCTGTCAGAGATTTCAGATCTTTGACCTTCCTACACAAGTCCCACGGTGTGTCCCCTGCGTGTCGATGGGAAGCGTGACCTCTTCTGATGGTGCTTTTAAGCAGTGAGCAGATGGGGTCCCACGTCCCTCTTCCAGACACCTGCCTCTCCCATCACAGAGCGCTGGGGCTGCTGCGACAGAGATGTCTTTGGTCTCTTTCAGTGCCGGGAGTAGGAATCCTGACTTGAGCATGCTGATGAAACAGACTTCTGAATTTCTCTACTTCTGCTGTGCATTTTCAGAGGTTTTATAAACTCTGCCATAAAAAACAAATTGCCCTTTAAAATGAGCGTTCTGGAAGTTGCACAGTAAAGAGTATGCTCCTTGCTTGGTTAATAATTAAGGGTATAATTAGTGTGTAGCTCCAAATATAATTAAAATTCATTTTGATAGGTCTAGGAATTACAAAGTAATTAAGCATCTGACATGGCAAATAAGAGGGAACTTGATGTGGAAGACAGGGGTAGAATTCATCCTGAGAGGTTCAACTCAGAGTCTTGTGCCTGGGATTAGTGGTGTGATCCCAAGGTGTGGATTCCACAGCCTCAGTAGGGTATCTGACTCCAGGATCTTCTGTGATGCAGAGCAGATCAGTGATCAAAACTGTCACTTGGCTTTGCTGCAGAAAGCTCTGGAGAATTCATAGTTTCTTTTTGTCTTTTGTTTTCCATCAAGAATGAGCTAGAGTAAATGGGAAGGCGGTGCAATTGTCTCTCATGCACATGAAAAACATGCTTTCCTGAAATATTTTTTTCATTTATGGATTTTTTCTGTTACTGTGCATGTGGTCTGTTGACTAAGTTTGAGCTCTTTATATGCAAAATGGAACACGTACTGTATAGCTGCACAGTCTCCATTGGGATAATTTAGTGCAGCAGCAGAGGGAATGGTGTCATGCAAAGCAGCTTTCAGTCAACATGGGCGAATTTTAGTTATTGTTGATTCACTGGCTGCTGGTTAGTGGTACCTGGTGGTGGTTAATAAATGTGTTAGATCTTCTGAGTGTCTTAAAGGTTTGATATGTGATCCATTATCCACTGCTCTTGCTGGATGTCCCTGCAGACTCTGGTGGATGTTGGATTGACCCTCTCGTCTTCACAAAGCTCCTCTTGTAGATGCAAGTGCTGTTATCAGATTGTATCGTCTGTCAAAATTGTCACTGAAGTCAAGAGTTCATTCGTTTCAGCTCAGCCTAAGCCACTCATTGAATCTGTTGTTAAACTGAACTGATGTGTAGTTTGAAGCATTAACTATTTTTATAGAGATGTAATAGAAGATACTTATTAATATCAATTGCTAATTACAGTCAATGTTCCTTTTTAGGAACAAATGTTCATGAAGCCCAGCGTATTCTGAGTGAAAGCGGACTCCCCATCACGGCCGCAAATGACCTTGAGGATGCCGCAAGGAAGGCAGTGGCTAGTGTGGCCAAAAAGTAACGACTTGAAGATGTTCTCATGGAAAGTGTGTGTGTTTCACAAGACATCATTCCTGTTGTTATTTCAGAGAGGGTTAGTGGAGTTTTCCTAAGCAGTCATCAGTGTTGGTGTACTTAATTTGTGATACACGGCAAACTCGGGCCATCGGCTTGCAAGTTAGGCTTCAGAAATTTTGCAGCTGCGTTCTTGAAAGGTTTGTATGTCTTCATCTAATTTTGGTAATCTTCTTATTCTGAATTGTGATAAGTAGTAATTCATAAAGCTCTTTTTCTGCTTTCCTTCCAAAATTGCCACTGATAAACTCATTATAAGATACAGTAATTAATACAGGATTTTTCTTCGATCAAACACATGTAGTTCACCTATTTTACAATATTTTAATTGTAAAGAGTCAGCAAACTAATAATGGGTTTATATTTTTTATGGACTTTTACAATAATATAAAAAATGTGCTTACAATATCTATTTTTATTCAAATGAATAATGTTTATTTTCTTTTTTTAGAAATCACACATTTTGCCTTAAAATTGTTTTCTTTCGTAGATGCCAAAATATACCTCACAATAGGAAAAGAGATTGACTTGTTGGTAGTGAAAAGACCTTCCATTCTTACACTGTGCCTATAAGCCAGCAAAATGTGATTAATTTTATTTTCTGTTTTTTGGAAATGAGGTGCAGTATTTCTAGGTGTAACAGTGCTGTACAGAGAGTTCTAGGAGGATGTGTCTGCCAGTAAGAAAATGGCTGCTAACTTTTTAAAATAACCTCTTTCATAAGTATATCACTGCTGTGAGGTTTTAAAATAAGAGGAGAATGTGAAGCAGTTTTCTATCAGGAGCATGGAGTATTCTTCAATTGATTTAACTTCCAAAAAAACATTTCTGATTTGTTGGGAACGAAACACAAATGAACCTTTCCATTTTTGACCTATCTGATTTCTCAGGCATGAGTAAAAATATGTACAAGAAAAAAAAAGTTTCAGTACTTAGATATTGACTGAGATTTGTTTTGATTGTATTTTATTTTGTAACAGTCAAAATTCAAGCTGTTAGTTACACAAACCATTCATTCAGGGAACAGAAGACAATACCAAATGGCTTGTGTAACTGAAGAACTCAGTACAAATCTCACTCAGCCCAGGCATTACATCCTGAAAATCATCAATAAATTTGAACAATGAACAAATGAGTGGATATTACGATCTGGTCTTGTAAATGGGCAGAGAGGTAAAAATTTGTCTAATAAATTCTTAATTATGATTTTTGAGAGGCTCTAATCAATACCATGTTCTACTTAGAAAAATGTAAATAAATTTTTGTTGACATTTCCATTAAAACTGTTATATTCAAGATAAATTATCTGCACTAATCTCTGGCTCTTGACACAAATAGTATAGATAGGTTGCTATCATCAATTACTGTAGGTTTTTTATTCTCCATTCCTTTCTCTGCATATTGCTCAAGGAAAAAACATATGACTATGCCACTAGGTATGTACTTGCTGACTGAATGAAGGAGAAGGGTATCGTTAGCAGTTCTGTGAAGGTGTGTAGAAGCACACTGCTTTGATGGAAGAAATGTTTACCTCGCCACAATAGATCAAGAAGTCCCACTCTCTTTTATATGTTTTAATACTGGTGATAGAAGCATTCTGTGGAAGAACCGTTCATGCAATGTTGTCACACACTGTGTATGTAACTTCTGGTCTCAAAACCGTTTGTCTGTGTACATGATTCTTACTCTGCAAAGATTAACGCTATGTGCACTGTTTCATCAAATAAATGTAAAAATGAACCTATTTAATAAGTTTGTCCTTTATATAAAATAGAAAATTGTTTAATTTGTCTATTGTATTCTGTGTTCTTCTGTTCTGCATTTTGTTACAGGTGGGTGAAGTGAAACACGTAGGAATTTAGTTTCAGTTGGGTAATATTGGTATAGTCTTATATACATGCTTTTTATCTATAAAAAAAAGTAAATTATCTCTGTATATATCTTTTCTTATATGTAGGTGAATGACAGTACATACACGTTTTATTCCTCTTAAGCCATATGCAGAATAGAACAGTCTCATTTTTAATTTTCAGGTGTCATATGGAAAATTTCCTAAGCTCTGGGTTTGTATTGTTGAACATTTGATGTTTCACTTGCACCAAGGCACCGTTCCCTTTCTGTAACCAGGGGCTCTCTTTCTCCATTCATCTTGGTTGGTGTGACATTGTGCACTGCTTTGGTGTTACTTGCACGGGTCATTTTGCTGTGTATGGAAATGTGTGAAGTTAGTTTTGGTCTCCCTGGGAAAGGTGTTTTAGTTACATTTCTTATGATTTTAGCTGTTATAAGTTGCAAGTAAACGCAATGCCTAGAAGGGATGCTTTATCTTTGCTCAAGTGTGCAGAGTCACAGCCTGGCAAGAGTGTGGTTTGCTGTCCTCAGCAGCTGTCCCCCCGCCTCAGCAGGGCTGGGTGCAAGCTCTTCTCCAGCCAGCCTGGGATACCTTAAACCCAAAAGGCACATACAGGAGAATTACTGCTCCTCCAGAAAACGAACAGCAGTGTAAGCAGCAGGTAAGTTCCAGTTAATCCCCTTTATGAAAGTTTTAAGTGGGATTTAGTTAGCCTTTAAATCTTGAAATTTCAGCCTGTATTAATAAAGCTCAGTAGGATTGGACACTTAGAAGGGAAAACACGAGGGTACTGTTAATGCTGACATTGTGTTACGTCTTTAACAAGATACCTTGACATTCTCACAGCGAAAGTATAACAGCTGGGAGTTCCAGAGTAATGTCCTTAACATGCATTTACTATCCTATTTGTCAGGCGTGTTCTTCCCTACATCCGGCAAAGCAGCTGCTATCATGCAAAACTGCTGTGATTGGAACAGCACGTCAGTGCAAACCAGTCACCAGGAGAGCTGCCGAGGAGGGACGTCCCTTCGCAGTCAAGAGCAGCGCTGTGCCGCTTGCCTTGCCCCCTGAGGGGAGCCTTCCCTGGTGACCTTGGGGACTTTCAGACCTCGGCACCTGCACTACCCCCTGGTTATTACATGTCCGGTTGGCCTGGGTGGTTCCAGGCTGAGAGGAGACCTTAACGCTCTCTAAAACTACCTGAAAGGAGGTTGTAGTGAGGTGGGTGTCAGTCTTTTCCCAAGTAACAAGTGATAGAACAAGAGGAAACAGCCTCAAGTTGCACCAGGGGAAGTTTAGATTGGATATTAGGAAAAATCTCTTCACCAAAAGGGTTATCAAGCACTGGAACAGGCTTCCCAGGGAAGTGGTTGAGCCACCACTCCTGGAGGTATTTAAAAGACAGGCAGACATGGTGCTTTAGGGACATGCTTTAGTGGTGGACTTGGCGGTGTTAACGGTTGGACTCAATGATCTTAAAGGTCTTTTCCAACCTAAATGATTGTTATTTCTGTTGTTCTGTTCCCTCGTGCTGAGGGCTGAGCCCAGTGCTAGCGGAGTCTACTCAGAGTGGCCCGAAACACGGGTCGGAGCAGCCTTGCGGGGCTGGAAGGGCCAGGAAGCCTGTGTGCACAAGGCTGGGTGCTGCAAAGCCCTGTAATAAAAGCTGTCAACTGAGTTACAGAAATCCAAAAACTTCTTAGGCTTAGTGCTTTATAACATGACATGTAAAATGCTAGTAGTGGATGCTTCTGTAAGCCTCTGAACTGATTGTGAGATTTTTGTGCCTTGTTTCTCTTTTTGCTGACTTTCAGAAAACTGGAGTTTCTTTTGACGTTAAGGTCATCTCTAGCAAGGGGCAAGTGGGGGAAAAGAGATGACTGCACATTTTAATGCAGCATCTCAGATTCTTTCCCTTTCCTCTCGTAAACTTCCTGTTCCCTTTTTTCCCACTTTTCCATCCATGTAGCTCGCTCCCTGTGCTTCCTCGCTACTTACAGTGTCGTCCTCAAAAATGGCAGAGAGCCCACACTGCTGGGTTTTGCTCAGTTTGCAGGGTTGGGCTGGCTGGTCTGGAGCTGTATGCATTGTGTGAGCATCCAGGCACCTGCCTGGGAGCTGGGTGCACTCTGCTCAGCCCGTCTGCCAGCAGCCTAACGCTGTGCTACCAGCCACCATCAGTGACCAGGTGCAGCTGGTGTACGCCAGCCCAAAAAACCATCCTAGAGTCCTCGCAATGCCTCTTCCTTACCTGTCCACTGCCATCAGGGAGGCTGAGACCTCACCTTCTGTGTTCTCCGCTCGCTTCTATACAACAGGAATAAACACAGGAGCAGAAACGGGCAGAGAAGCAGTTTGACTTGCCGGTTCAGGAGCATTGGGCTCTGAGACGGGGCTGTGTTTCACAAAAGTTGTAGACAGTTATATTCAGAGAGATAAAAAGAGGAGTGAAAAAGCCCAGGAAAGCTAGACACGCATGTAAAGGGCTGTTTCAAAGAGAGAATAAATACTTTTCTTCAAGGAGGAATAGTCCTCCTGAAGTCCATTGTGGATAGGACAAGCAGTGAGGAGCTTTGACTGAGGTAAGGGACATATAGGTCATACTTACATCCATGAGGTGAGCCAAGGAATGGGCTGTGAAATCATCAGTGGAAGTGGTTTAGTTAGATGAGTGTCTGTCGGGTGGCTTAAGAAGAGTCGATTTTTGCCTCAAGGCAGCGGGATGGATGAGGTGACCTTCCAGCCTGATTTGATAGGATTTAACGCTTGTTGGTAAGGTTTTGTTTTCTTATTTTCTTTGTAACTTGTAGGTACGGGGAGGAAAAAGGAGGGCAGATCTGGTGGATTCTTGAAAGAAGCTTTTTTTAGTCACCAAGAATGATCTGCAGCTGTCAGGGAAATGAAAAGCAGATTATGCAAACTCAAGACTTTCCCTAACAATGGAAGAAGTTATTGCAATGCATAAAGACCGAACAGAGAATTAGGGATATCTATCAACTTTAATATGTTTAATTTAAAAAATAACAGGTTACACCAACAATTTTTTTTTCTCCTTAATGAGGCCCATTCATAAGTAGAATAACAGGATTTGCCTGTCACCCAGAGGAAATCATGGTATGTGTTTGTACTTTGGTGCAAAACTTGTGTTGATCGCAAGCGATTTAAAACTTTTTCTAGCCCAGCTGCAGTCAGTTTGATGTCAGGATCCTTTCATCCAGAGACAGATGCACCCTTGGTAGAATCCTGAACACATCTGTATCTTTGTTCAGCCTCACAAAGTACCAGCTAAAGATTAAAAATAAAAGTGTGTGTGGATTACTGCCTGTTATTCCTCAGAGAGAACTACTATGAGATACGATTTGACTTATCCAAAACCTGGTAGCCCCATCCTGCAGACTGCAGAAGGATTTTT